CAAAGATATAGTATTCATTTCCTACAAATTAGAATATGAGTAGACGTATTTTAATTCTTACTCTGAAGTCCTAAATTGTAAAAATTAAGCTTTTATGTATACATAAAAATGTTTAAATCACATTAGAAAATATAACTATATGTATACCGGCCTTTTATCACTTTTGTACATTTATATAAATACATACACATGTATACATATGCATATGTATATCTTTCTTTCCTTAAGAGAGTGTATTACTATGTTACCCAAACTGGTCCCAAACTCCTGGCCTCAAACTATATGCCACCCTCAGCCTCCCAAGTACCTAGGACTATAGACATATCCCACCATGTCCAGCTCTGAATTATATTTTTAAATGGTGTGTGTGTATTTTCCTGTTGATCAAAGCCAGGGCCTTGTGCTAGCTAGGCAAGTGTTCTACTGAGCTATATCCCCATCTTTTAACATGTTAAAATAGTAAAGCTTTTTTGACTAATGTTTTATAACTGAGCACTGAATGATTAAAGATGTGTATCATGTAAAGAAACTAACAAACATTACTTATAGAATGAGCCACTCTACTTCCTGAACAAGGAATAGGCCAGTCACCAGTTTCTAGGTCACAACAGAAACAGCAAGTAACATTTCAGATACTAGATGAGAACAAAACACTGTTTAATAGAAGCACAATTTTGAGCACATCACTCATTTCTCCATGGAGAACCCTCAAGTTCAAAGAAAAAATCATATAAAAATTAACTATATTAGCCACTTATAAGATTCATATTTAGAGAGAGGAATAAACATACAACATTTCTGAGACAAAAACCATGTCAGTTGTTAATGTTTATTTTCTAATTAGGAGGTCATACCTTTGTGTTATCTCTGAAAACACCCAAATCCACGTTCTCTCATGTAGTTCTATCCTACACTGTAACTTATTAAATCTTCACATAGAAGTAGCAAATACACAGAGCTTCTGTGTGGAGATGATCAGGTTCAATATTTAGCAAAGAAGCCTTGGTGTCAACTACTGCTTTGTCAATTGTTCTGGCAAGAGCAGGACTCTACCTCTACATCAAGAGGTAAAATTTACTAAAAAGAACTTCACCCTCAGAAGACTGGCTAAACCAGCAACCAAGAAAACTAGTGACATGAATGGGACAGTAGAAACAGAGGGATTCATTAGCCATAAATAAAATAGCACTGAAGTGTTCAATAATATTTGCTTATAAACAAACAAAGAAAAGATAAGGGACTCAAATAGGAAGGGGCACAAAATCTTATGTCAACCAAGGCCAAAACCCTACACTCTTTCCACTATAAGGCATTTCTTTCTCTTTCAATACCTTAAATAGACCATTATTAAAAGAGATTGCATTTAATGAAGACACTAGGCAGGCAGATCAGATATAAACATATCAACTAGCTTGTCCAATAACTTCACAAAATTTGGTGTGAAGCCACTCTCCCATTTACCCAAAGTATACACACACATTATATAAAAAGCCCACATCTTTCCACTCCTAATTAATATGATTCATGTTTCTAAATAAATAAATAAACTCAGTCTAAGGCCCAAACATAATTGTGTTCACTTTTCAGACACCAAAGCCTAATTTGGCTACTTTCCCCACAAACTGTGTTCATAAAAATTGTTACACATATTCTAGGCCCAAAGTACTCTGTATAGTTCCACTAATCTGAGATCACAAGCTGAAAAACAAACGTGCTCCAAGTCCAATTCCAAAGTAATATTACTTCTCAACTGTTACATACCCTAAAAAATACCATTTGTCTAAACTTCACATCCAGATTAACAATGAGTGTTAATTCTGAGGTAAATATTATGTATCCACTAAATGTACTGGGCTACATTTAGAAACTTTTTAATCTACCTTTTTAAGCCTTAATATTTCATTTCTATTCTAATTACATAGACTCTCATAAAACCATAAAGAGCTTAAGAGAATTCTGTCATAATTTTATGTTTATATAATACCACATCATAAAAATATATTTGTTTCTAAAATGTCAAATACTTTTTGATTTTCTCTTTTTCCTAATATACTCCTTTTCACTGCATGCAATCATTAAAATGAAGAAATCTAGTAAAAATGAAACTAATCAAATTTGCTATGTCATACCATCAAAGTAGCAAATTCATAATACCATTTGCTCTAAAAACTTTTTCAGAATAGTTATTTTAGAAAATGAAAATGTACCTGTAAAAAAAGTACCATCCAACAAATATGGTACATTTGAGAACACTAAGTATGTTAATATACACTTCTAAGCTTTAAAACCACATGACAGACTACAAAGAAAAAAACCTGAATGATAATCAAGAAATAACTTCAAATTGAAAAATAACAAAAATGTCATCTTTTACTTGGATGCCATTTATCTATTTCTGTCAACAAATGTCTTACAGGGGCCATAAGTAAGTGGGAACTGTAGCTACTAAAAGGTATGCTGATAAACTTACCATCATTTTGGCTCTTGCCCTTCATCTCCTCCTTCCAGGATAGAATGGTATCCAGGGCAACATAGTCTCTTATGTATTCTTTACGCCTCTCCTCTAAGGTCATCTTCAGTAAACGTTCTTGCAAAATAAAAGCAGAATCTTCATTTGTATTTAACTTTTAAGCTTGGGAATTATTTTATACTTTAAATATTAATCATGGTAAGCTAAGCAAAGGTTTGGTACAATTTTGAGAAACACCAAGACACAAAGTGAATAATTTCATATTTGAGTATTAAAAGATGTCCACTTCATTCCATATCAGCTAGAAAAATAAAACCAAAGTCTGATAAAGACACTCTGTAAAGTCTATAAATAATTCATTCACTTTTCAGTCAATATTTTCTGACAACCTACTATATGCAAGATGACATGTTTATAGGTACAAAGATGATTTTTATCCTGAGTTCATAGGACTAAAGAGAAAATAGATAAGAGGCAAAATAATATTGATGTAAACAAAATTTAAAATGCTAAGACAGATATACAAATAATGGAAGCACGAGAAAGGCAGCCACTAAATTATTTCCTTACTTCTTCAAGACCATCAACAATGAAAGTACACTTTCAGTTGAGTAATAACTTTGTAGAGGTAATATTTGGTTATAAAATTAAAATAACAATTGCAATTTAGAATTAGTAACAGTGAGTGTCACTTATAAAGAACTCACTGTTTGCCAGTACTTCACATGTATTATATTACTGAAATGATTACTCATAAAGTTGATAGACTATCCTTACTTTGCACATAGAAAAATAAAGCACACCATCAGGAACTTTCAAGTAAGCCAAGATAAAAATACAGGTAGATATCTCCATTAATTAGACAGTACAGCCTATGCATTAACACTATACTGTCTTCTCAGGAACAGCTCCTCAGAAGGACTCACAAAGGACAGGTAGAATTTTCAGAGCAGGTTAAAAAGGATTTCAACTAACAGAACAACATTAACAAAAATAAGAAGATGGAAATAGCTTAATGAAACTACTAGATATAACATTTAGAGAAGAATAGCCACAGAAGTGAAAAACAGATGAAACAAGGCAAAAGAAAACTGTACAGGCACAGTGATGGTGAATCTTTCAGAGATCTCAATAATGCAACCTTCTGTAGCACATGTGCCTAAATTCTCCATCACTGGTATAGGGACTTGTACGCCATGGTAAGCAATTTAACCTTTACTGCACAAACTTCATCACTAATACTCAAAGTTAATTATGCATATCCCAATCAGTACATAAATTATCCACTAGTATGCAGAAAAAAATCTGGTTTTTAACCTCAAAACAAGGAATAATATAGAGTCATCAATATTGAACATATAAACTGTCCCTGGCATGTTCACTCAGTTTACATCAGTCATCATGTATCACTTTAATAGGGGTGTCCACCATGGACAGACTGACAATCACATTCATATACTCTCCAATGCTCTTTCAATGTATTACTAGATATGTAGTTCATACGCATGGATTTAACATATTCAAGTCACATTTCTCAAGTTAACAAACTGAATATACCTATGAGACTTTCAAGAAGCTGAGATCAAGAATCTAGAACTCAGGGGAGCCAGGGAGATGGCTCAGTGGAATAAGCGCTTCCCTGGCAAGCACAAGGGTCTGAGTTCAATCCCCGGTTCTGAAAAAAAAAAAAAAAAAAAAAAAAAATCTAGAACTCAGGAGAAAGATCTAGCCTAAATATTTCCGAAATTATAACCTAAACTTCTGGTCCTAGAAAAAGAAAGGCGGGGTGGGTATGAACTCAATTAAAAACAAATTTAGGTAGGAAGCACAAATAGGAGAACAATTAAAGAGAACCTGGTTGTTAATGGAGCTAAAGGTCCCTGCAATGTGGAAGACAGCAGGGAAAAGAGTTTTAATACATTGGAGGGAAATATTCTCAACTGCTACAGGTAGATATGGAAGAATAAACATGATACTACAAAAGTCATGACTTTTTACTAACTGAGCTGCAAACTGCACTAAAAAGAAAGAAAACTAATTAACAGAGCTCTTTGGGTTCTAATCTAAATCACTGCAATCTCCATGTTTCAGATTCTTTCTGATTTAAGTAGGTAGGTATTTTTCCCAACTTATAAATGAAGCAAAGCAGAGTTCAAAGAGTTACCCAACATCCCACAGCAAGTAAGCAGTATAGCAAGGATTCACAATTACGCAACTGTGTTCAAAGCTCTCAGTTTTACAGTTGCTATCTCACACACTTTCCTATCTCATGAAACTGTGAGAATAACATGCAATAACCTATAATAGTACTGAGTGCATAAGTTAATTTAAATATAACCATTTTATATTAATCCAACCATCACTGTTAATACTAAATGACTTTAGGAACATTAGTTTCATTAGGATACAAATGAAATCCAGGAAACTAAGAGGAGCTATTACGGTTTAAATATGAAATGCGCCCTAGTGACTCACATATCAGAGGTTTGACCTCAATGAAGTAATGTTCAAATGTGGAGCTTTGAGCAGTGACTGGATCAAGAGGGTGCTAAATTCATCAATGAATAATTCATTAGTGAGTTCATGGCTGAATGGGCTTTTATGAGGTAGAGCCTAGTTGAAGGAAGACGATCATGGGGACTTGTCCCAGGTCCCTTCCTCTCCCTCACTGTCCTCTTTCCTCAGCTTCCTGTCTGGTGTAAGGCGAGCCACTCTGGTCATTACATGTTCTCTGCCACATAGTTTGCCTTACTACAGACCCACAACAATGAACCTAACCAACAAACTATGGTTGAAACCCCTGAAATCATGACACAAAATTAATCTTTTCAACTTGTTATTTACAGGAATTTTGTTATAGCAACAAAAAGCTCACACAAGGACATTGCAAAAGAAAAAAGTGAAAGCAGCAGAAAAACTAAGAGAGAAGACACTTGAATATATTATAGACAGTACAGAAGGTCCTAAAGGCATCGGGAAATTAAAGATACCCAGTAATAAAAAATGATAGCACAAGATCTCAAATATAGAAAATGGAATAAAGAGAATAAGCAAAGGGGTTAATTTTAGAAACAAAGAAGTGTTTTTTGTTTGTTTTTTTTTTTTTTCATAAGACAAGAACAAAACCTCAAGACTATAAAAGAAAAAAAGCAATGAGACCATGGAGAAGTATGCTAGGGCTGTTCCTATTATATGTCATTTACTTTCTTTGTAAATTAAAAAGACAATTTTTATGTTTACTATAGGGAAAAAGAGTACTGGTGGAATAGGACGCTTGTAGGGAATAGTAAATTTGGAATTTTTATACAAAAGTGAAAAAAGATTAGTATTAGTTTCTAAAGCACTACTTTAAAAGATCATTGATAAGGAATAATTACAAAAAGTGACCCAGTTAAAAGACACTAAGCAACTTAAAAGTTTTTGTAAATGTCAGATATGTATTGAAATGAATCCTGACTTATTTTATTTGTTCAAAAGTACAAAGACCAAAATAAAATCAATTATATAAAATCAAAAACAGTACATAACAATATTTGAAAGTACACATTAAATGGCTCTGAATAAGGGCTGAATTTAACATATGTGGTCTTAATAACTCCATTACGCTATCTGTTTGAGCAACAAAATACTATAGGTCAGGGACATATGCAGTTTCTTTGGGTTATATAAAGCTTTCTTTAAAAACTGCTTCACTTTTCTAATGAATCCTTTCTCTGTCAAGCAAGCATATAAGCAAGCAAATCTTATTAGATGGTGTACTGAGTTAAAATATGTTTCCAGAAAGTCTTGACATTTCAATGAAGTAGGTAAACCTTCCTTTAGATTTAAATAACAGTTGCAAAAATACTATGCCATCAATTCTCCAGTGGTATAAAAGGAAAGGTCATGCCTCCCATCAGCTTCTTTTGTACTAGAAAATCTCTGCTCCTTTTTGGTGGAATAACATGTGATAAATTTTTCAAAAATAAACATCCTGATAAAACAGTAAGACTTAACTTAAAAGTCATCAAATCATACTTTTCTCTTTAACTTAAAACTTCATGCAAAACTAGCTTAATTTTGAATGGGAAAATTACTTTAACTGCCTTCTCTGTACATGTGCTTTTGTATTTTAAAAAAAATACTAATTTGGGTATTTTTCCATTAGAAGTAGAAAGGAAAAAAAAGACTTTAAAAGATTCTGAAATGCCTGCTTATCTGTCTCTGTAATATAAAATAAACCACCAAGACAGTTACTTTAGAAACACTTTTAATATAACAGGAAAAGTTATGTACTCACTATAATTTCATCAATGATTCATATTATTGAAAATAATGTCTATGTCTATTTCCCTTCATTATCAATAACACAATGGCAACATTTCAAAACCATCAATAAAAATGGGCATTAATGATTTCCCAATGCTCACAAAGTAAATCTTTGTTGAAAATATATAAGTAACTGCTACTATAAAAGTGAAGCAAAACTATATTAAACTACTTTATATATCAGGCTTTTATTGTCAACATTTGTTTTGTGACAGTAGAATTTTTGATCTCTAGAAGCTCAGAATTATTAAAACAATTAAATGAGAAATATTAATCATTAAAAAATTTAAAGGCCACTTTATGATGTTCAGTTATTACATTAAACATTCCTATAATTGGAAAAAAATTCCCTCCTTGTCCCTTTCTCCTACATTGTTGGAAGTAGGTCCTATGGAGGATTCTTCTTTTCATTCCTTTTCTTACCACCGTTAAGCCCTCATGTTCATAAAGGCCAAGGTTTGCAGTAGTAATATACAGGTTTTCAAGAGGCATTATCAGGGAAATTAAATTCAACCTTGTCATCCTTTTATCCTCTTTTAGAGATGAGATGTTCAGGAAAAAGTTCTACTATCTTTACTGGACCTCACTCACCTTTGATACATTAGTGGTGTATATTAAGCCTATCTTGTCAGAGGCAATGCAACAAGTATTTTCCCTACATTTATGTAAAAGGGGGTGAAGAATGAAAGAAAAAGGTGTAAAAAAGAAATGAAAAATGCCAGACTTAAATTTTACATCAGACTATGACCTATGAATAGTGAAAAAGAGTGATTAAGGGAGGGGACTGAATCACACAGTTGTTTTCC